ACCACAGCAAATGTCGTACCATGTCTCTGGCCGAGGGTTCACTCGCCTTGCTTTGATAAAGGTCAGGCGGGCCAGAGGTCCGGGCTCCGCTTTAAAGCTGTCAAATTCCGCATTCAGTCCCACTTTCGAGATGGTGCTGGTCCGCTTCTTGCCCTTGGAGGCTTCTTGTGATACCGCCGACGGTATCGTCTGAAATTCGCAACCCGACGCCTTGGCCAAGATGGCCGGCGCTGAGGACGGAGACACACGGACCCAGGCTGACGGTGTGATGACTACGTGATCCGAAAGCGAGTAGTCGCGACGCCGGTTCTACCGGTCAACCAATGAATTCAAGACAAATGAAAAGGATCACCGCAACGCTATAACCAAGCCCTTCAACAGAAATACAATTTTGTGTACAACGTACCACTGCCACCTCCACCACTACCACTGCTACTACTAGCACTGGTATTAGTTGTGGTGGTGATGGCGGCCTAATTGGACCCTTGTCCCCAATGGCCTTGACATTCGACTTGTATACTCAGCAGTAATAGTGGTAATAGTAATAGTAGTAGTGGTTGTAGTGGTATAATTGGACTGTCCACCTACCGGTACTATATACGCGGTAGCATTATTATAAGTATTATTAATATTATTATTGTTAGTAGAAGTGGCATTATTATATTTATATTATCGGTGTCAGGACCGGTGTAGTTGGACTCTCAACCCAGGTATTGCATAAGTGATAGCATTATTATTACTATACTCAGTAATAGCAGTAAAATTTATAGTATTATAGTAGTAGTGTTGATGGTTGTGTAATTGGACTCTTCACTCCACCGGCATTGACAACTAGTCTTGAAGATGAAAAGAAGTCCGATGAGAAACAGTCCACGATAGGGAAAAACCCTTTGGGAAGTGAACGAGAAGAGGAGACATGTCTCTAAGTGTAAACAGTAAACAGGACACAACAGAGCCCGCGACAACCAGTCGCAGGCGTTCACTTGGTCTCCATATTTTCGTCCCCACTCCACTCTCTCTCCCCGGGGGAACGGAACTCATTGGGCGCGATCTCGTCTGGCCGGGCAGATGCGGCGTTTGCCGGCATCTCGTGTCTCCGTATCCAAACGGCCGCAAGGTGCAAAAGCCTCCAAGGCAGAAAAATGTTCACGAGATCCGAGGTAAGGCTGTAGCCATGCAATCGCCCATGATTTCCGGCTAGACGCATTGGCCTGCTTGTTTGTCTGTCCACAGGGGCAATTGTGGCTGTCAGAGTGAGGCCATTGAATGGTGGTTGGCTAGATAGAATTTGTGAACTTGTATTACTAGAAAAAAACCATGAGTAGGGAGCAATTAACGCCCGGATTAAGGGGCAAAGAGGGCGAGATTGTGGCAGACGGTTTCAAAAGTGCAGACAAAGGTGTGAAAATGGATGGACTAAGAATGACAAAAACTGGACTAGTTTGGTGGCTGTATGTTGTCGCGAAGGCTGCAGCAAGCACGGTTAAAAGCCTTTGAAATTTCCCCAAACTATGCTGGATGAAGATTGGACGCGGTCGTGCAAAAGAGTGAAAACGGCCCCGAGTCGAGACGCAAACTGGTTTCTCATTTCAATTTGCATCATTGCTGGTTCTAAGAAGAGATTAAGGGTCTCGCCTCGTATCGTGTCTGTCGATTAGACAAGAGCTTGAGTCCCTCCAGATTGCCTAAGGTTATCACCTGAAAGTTGAGTATCGCACGATAAAATGAGCCAACTCATAGTTGTAAGCACTACTCATCACGTCCAATAGTAATATCATCCATGACAAATAAGACTTTTCAACACCGACAAAAGTCGCATGAGATAAAAATTGGACAAGGCCTGTCTTACTTTTGACTGTGGGGCAAACTCGTATTTATCATGGATGATATTACTGTTGGGCAGGATACAAGTAGTGCTTACAAATATCAATTGACTTGGACTATGAACTTGAATGAACTTTATTCATTTCATCGCATAAAACTCAACTTTTAGTCCTCGCCTCTTGAGTTGTTTGGTGCTGTTAGATATAAAAAATTCGACCGGACTGTCATTCTGAAAATGTAAAGGATGCTAAAACTTGAGGGAATGCCTACCAACGATAAATTCAAACTTGAAATACAAATTTCAATTTAGATGTCCCCATGATACTGTTGAATTGGATCGGGACCATTTAAGGAGCCACCGAACAGAACACAGTTTGCCAAAGCCGCACATTATCCAACCATTGTGCTCAACCTGAGCTCCGGTTGTTCTCAGCCTAGACCGGAACAAAGGGAAGGGACTCTTCGAGTTAATCCGAGCCAGAATCGGATTATGGTAGACTCAATTCCACGGATTCGGCATTGTCACAAGAAAGCTGTGTGTGTGTACCTCCAACCGCCTAACTGTGCACAACTGGTACATTAAGCACAATCTGTCCTCTTTAAAGTTATGCAAATGACAAGCATAAATCAGACCAAGCCGTGTGCCTGTGAACTGACTGCCGGGATGAGACATTTGAGTTGAGCCAATCTCAGCGAAGCACGAATGTGCAACAATCTCCACACTCGGACTCCCCAAAGTGCCCATTGTGGCGAGGAGGCTGAGTGTGGACAGCCGCCTCCCCTAGGCCCACTTCCGTCGAGCCCGGAATGTCACTGGACGTCTTCATTACCCTACGAAGAAGCTGGCCTCGAAGTGGTACGTTGGAGTATGCAGCATATGACATAATGAACCGGTTTGATAGCTCTCAGCGTGCACATCACACAATGAAGGGATTGACATCTGCCAGGTTTTCTGCAATATGAGAAAAGACCACCGGAGGTCAACTCAACAGAGCATCGGATCTAGATCATCTTTGTCGGTTCAAGTCTGGGCCAAATCGGAAAGGATGCACCCGGATCTTCGGCTTAGCCGGTGTCCACGCCTACCGGCCTTGTGTGCGCATGCCTACATGCTGGTGAGGTAATCACGCCTCTAAACAGTTGAACAAGTTCACTGGCATCTTACATGATGATTTATTCGTGCTAGCCAATATGTGCGTGTGCAGGCTGGGGGTAGGGCCTATCGGGATGGCCTCCAAAGTGCTGACATTCGCTCACCGGACAGACCGCATGGAAATTGAGGGGTGAAGACGATACTGAGTGCCGAGCCGCATGTGTTTGCAGAAAGAACGGTCATGTCATACTTAAACTCATGCAATGCAATGAATTAAGTAAATTTGTCTTATGTGTTGCCGACTGGTTTGATTGAGGAGCCCAAACAAATAGTGAAACGGTCTTAAGGTGTCATTTTTTTGCCATCAAAACCTCTACCGCACACACACACACACACACACACAATGTATTCACGCGTTAGCATAATGACAAAAGACCCATGCTGTCGGAACGATGGAGTTAGTCATAAGGCTACTGACACTTAGTCCCTCGTTTCCAAACGGTCACAGTGACGTCCATCGGTCAGTTTGGTCGGCTGCAAGGACTTCACGGCAAACCCCACGTTTCGCAGTCTCCTCTCCATTGCGAGGCAGCGTCAAGCCTCCCTCGACCGGGGAGGTAGGGGTTGTTCTCCTGTCCGCCATGGGTAACACGCATAATTTGTATGCGTCCCTGTAGATGGCCAACAGGTTGCCACATCTAAGTGCAACATTGTAGTGGTGACCTTGATCCGACGTGAGAATGGCCGACGAAGAAAAACTGATGAGCCGATTTCACCTGAAAAAGGCGGCGAATCCCAAATGCTCCGCACGAGTATGAGACCGCAACGATGCCCAGGTTGGCAAGGTCCACTAGACATCCCTGTTTTCCTCCTAAACCACTAGACAGACATTGTCGGAGTTGGATCAGTTTCCTAAACAACTTCAAGTCAACACCAAGTCAGGAAGGAGGCACTGGCTACTATTTAGACCCTACTCGCATACGAATACTATTTAGACACCATATGCATCCATATCAAATACAAAATTAAAAAAAAAAGAAGTTAATGGGACAGAATGATTCAGAGCGTTATTTCCAATGTAGACGGTAGACGTCTGAGTACATCTGCAAGTCAGCAAGGTAAACCAACAGTCACAAGTCTGTGCGATTGAAGCAATACAGGATTACCAAGGTTTCACAAGAAAAGATCGACTGAAATAAAGCATAGTAAGAGGATCCCTCGAAACTGATTGGGTCGGCATTGGTCGAAGCAAGAGAAAGTAATGTAAAGGAGTTGGCAAAAACTACCTGAGACTATGATAAGGGTGGAAAGAAGAATGGAAAAGGGTTTTAGTCCAACAATAGCTCAGACTCGGTGACAGCTCATCACAAATACCTTGCCCTCCGATCACAAAAGTCGATTGTGACACATCCATCTGTTTGCGGATAAACCAAATTTGAACGGCAAGGAATCACAAGAGAACCTGCTGATGGAGATCCTCAAAGACCAAATCGGCGATAGGAATGCTGGTATGGTATGCAATTGGAATCAGTGATAGGGAAAATAGGCATGATAAATTACGGTTAATTTGACGGTCTAGCGAGTGCAACAAGCCTCCCTGGCCCATCCTCGAATGCAAGAGGGGAGACACACTCACTTTATTTGGTTGGCTGGGCTCTCAGATTGCTTGCGGGAAGATCAACAATCAAAATATGACTTTACGAAGAGTTGCCCAAGATTGGTATGATATGTGGAAAAGTTTCAATCGCAAGAGTGCTGGGTAGGCGTAATGCTTAATGAGACTGAGTTA